TTCAAGGGGGTCGAACCCCTTAAAAATGGCGCGTATTTACTCCTAGACATCATCATACATCGTCATATCGGCTGTTAACTGTCCACCGTTGATCATAGACCTTTCCATACAAAGGGGGCATTGTCAGTAGTTGTCACGTTTGGCAGGCAAATTGGCAACCACAATTAATCTTTGGTGATGTTGGCCTATCCCTCGACCGTTAAGTTCTTCGTTGCCTCTTACGACACCCACAGAAAAGTAAATGATGGTCCACTCCATGCCGGGACCATACGTTTTCTAGACGTATTTTTGCTCAAAGCTGAAATGTACACTCCTGATCCTCGGGTGGGCACCAGACGATTCAGGAGTGGGCATTGCCCATCCGAGCCTTTTTTTATTACGACTATGTAAACAGGAAAATAAAGTGAAGTTGTGGGCATCTTTTTATATGAGTAAAATAACATTCATAATATATTAATACGTATAGTTTTTTGATTGTCATAGTGCAATAATGGGTACGTTTTTTTGTGTGAATGAAGTTACAGGTTCGATTCCCAAGCAGGACAATTTAGGAAAAGAACTTTTCTGAATTGACTCAGGTCTGGATTTTCTGAGTATTGCCCTTAGATATATGTTGCCGAGTTACACAACATGTGATTGTGTTTCATTTATTATAATTAACCAGGTAAAAATAACAATTTTTTTAAAGAAACATAGCTTGGAAAGCAATAAAAATTATAGAGATTCACTCAAAAAAATTACAGTAAGTAAATTGCGAATTCGCTCCTTTTGAAGTCGGTTAAAAATGAGGTAAATAAATCAATGCACCATTCATTTAATATGTCTTACGATGAAACAGGAAAATGTTTACTAAAATTCTAACTCGTGCGTGAAAGGGAATCCCCAAGCATACGATTGAAATAAACACCTTTAATAATTATTTAAGATGGTCTTCTAAAAAAAAAACAACCGACTTGAATACTGGCAAATACTATTATTTCGATGTTAGAACTAAACTACTGAATTGATTTTGACAATTTTTCTACGGGAGCAATCTAAAAGTATATACCATATACACACACATACACACTCATACAGACACACGCACGCACTCACTCACACACACACATACACACACACACACACACACACACACACACACACACACACACACACACACACACACGCAAGCAAGCACGCACGCACGCACGCACTCACTCACGCACGCACACACACACATACAACCCCCCCCCCTCTTTTCTATAATAAATATATGTAACCTTATTAAAAATAAATACCTTATGGAACCTCAAATATTTTACATTAATTTTCTCTTTTTTTTTCTTGTTTAGGTATATATTTTATTTGTTTTTATTTAATTTCAAATATATTTAAATTTTCGAGTATCTAAATCATAAAATTGTACAAGAACCGGACTGTAAATGGTAATAAATATGTACTAACGTTCCATTGTTTCTGCCTACCCTAATGGGAGACAGGCGTGATAGATATGTATGTATGTATGTAAAAATACAACCGAATTGAGTACCTCCTTCTTTTTTTAAATCGGTTGGAGATTATTTACTTGAGACTTTAATTTTATATTAATAAACATAATGATCTTCGTGACCCATATAGTATACTATTTCGACTTTATAATGCAGTGTCGTGAGTTCAAATTTGGTAACCACCAAACTTATTTATTTATTTACTCTATTTATTTATTTTTTATTTATCATATTACATAAAGTGTTTGTTACAAAAGGCGGACTTGATGCTAAATAAAGCATTTTCCTCCAGTCAAGATTTGGCAAAACTAAAGTTGTACCAGTTAAAAAAAACTATATATAAATACTATATATAAAACTATATATATATATATATATATACACTGCTTATCCTACTGCTATCCACCTATGTTTAAAGATATATATATATATATATATATATATATATATATATATATATATATATATATATATATATATATATATATATATAGTACGCACATGCATATGGAAAATTATTCTCGCTGCCATCAACAGTCGTGTGAATAACCTTCACGTTAATGTATGGTCAAATTAAGTTTATACAATATCAAATTGACATTACATCACCAATGTCATACTAATTAGTGATTTCTCAGAAAATTTCCATTTCCATTATGATTTAATGACAATTTATTAATTATTTATTTTTATCTGCGCGTGCACATGCACGCGCAAGTTTATCCGCATGCACGCACACACACACACATACACACAGAGACACACACATATAGATCTCCCACAAATTACGATACTTTTATTTTGTACAAAATAAACAAACTGTACATACACTGTAATTTGTGGAGATGAATAAACTAAATCAGGTTGTTTGAATTGAAGCATTTGGCGTTCCATTGTTTCTGCCTACCCTAATGGGAGACAGGCGTGACAGATATGTATGTATGTATGTATGAATAAACTAATTATTATTATCTTACTGTAAATGACAATTCCAATTTTACAATGGTTGGATAGTCTTTTTTTTTTTTTTTTATAAAACTTAGAATGGCAAACAAGCTGACGGCCCACCTGATGGAAAGTGGTAACCGTCGCCTATAGACATGAGCAGTACTATGGACATAACAGAGTATACTGTTTCGTCCGTGATACCCCCCATGCGTTGCCATTCCTGAGGCCTCAGGTGTTATTCCTCTGTACCCAGTAAATTCACGCCATATCCCACCCTTCAAACCGAAACACAGCCATGCAAACACAACTGCTTCACGGTTGAAACACGAATGGGACAGAGGTACCCAAGCAATCGACTTTTGTACAAAGTCTCCCTCTGGTAATTTTGTCACGTAGTTACCTATGTATATGTAATAGTTTCACTCGAGTTATGCATCTTTATGCAAACAAACACATATAAATAGATATTGAAATAAAACAAAATTATTTTATTCATAACACCTGTTTTAATACGTGTATGTGTCGATGATAAAAAAAAATTCTTTGACATTGCACAATATAAAACGAACAATGAAGTACACAGTCGAATCCAGTTTCTTATTACATTACGATAAAAAATTGCATTCACCATAAATTATATGATGCCCACGGCCACTTTCTACCATCGTACGGCTCGCCATCGACAGGGAGTTCATCCTCATGTCCTACAACCTCAATGGTCGCGTACTGCGCGGTTTCAGAGATGTTTCCTCCCACGAACACTCAGGTTGTGGAATGAGCTCCCTGCCGAGGTTTTCCCAAGAGACTACGGCGTGGGGTTCTTCAAAAGGGGGGTAAAGAGGTTTCTTCAGGGTCGGCAACGCGCGCGTAATATCTCTGGTATTGTAGGTGTTCATAGGCTACGGTAACCGCTTACCATCAGGTGGACCGTATGCTTGTTTGCCACCTCAGTGGTATAAAAAAAAAAAGACATTCAAAAATGGTAAATAGAATATAAAAGAAAATTTTAAAAGAAAAGAAAATGCCAAATATGCTCATTGAAGGTGTAAAAAGACCAAAATGTACATATTACGCGTTTTTACCCGTAACTTGTCACACTTTTCAAAAGATTAAAAAAAAAGGTTCTCAATTCGAATTGATTTACTTTTATGTCTGTTACCTCATAGTGATTATTTCTTGTAATTATTTATATCTATCTATACTTATAATAAATCTGTAGAGAAGCCAATTCTGTACATTAAATATATTTCCAAAATAACTATCAGCGGGTGATTAGTGATCGACACTGATGCCAAAAATGCAATCAGTAAAACTTTTTCCTGTCTGTCTGTATGTTCGTTATAGAAACAAAAACTACTCGACGGATTTTAACGAAACTTGGTACAATTATTCTTCATACTCCTAGGCAGGATATAGTATACTTTTCATCACGCTACGATCAATAGGAGCAGAGCAGTGAAGGGAAATGTTGCGAAAACGAAAGAAGTTAGTCCATTTTTAAGCTTCCGTCGCGTGTGTAGCCTTAATGGCCAATTTTTATAATGTAAAAATGTCCACCCGTGCGACGCCGGGACGGGCCGCTAGTATTAAATAATATTAACCGTTTGAACAAGCCGACATACACACACACGCACACAAATAAATAGACACGAACAATAAACCTAATCAGTCGACTACCGGCAAAGCAATTTCATTGTAACAAAATATCAATTTGTTTAGAATTAAAACAATATGTTTGTAATGAATTAATACATTACACGTTCCTCTTGATTGCCTTATATTTGTGAGCAGATTAAGCACGTAAATACCTAGCTGCAATTAAAATATTACACATAACTATTAGTGATAGGGGGGAAAGGGATTGTTAGTAATGGAGACTGAGAATCCCATTGCTAGCAATATACCCAACCAGGTCGACCTCCTCGCGGTTTCCCCTGGAAACTATCATGGTTAATTCTTGATGAATTCATCATGATGGGCTAACTGGCCTGTTTTCATTCTCATCTATCACCCTTTACTGGTGCTCCGCCAGCGTATCCCGTTAGCGCAGGCGAGGTGACCATACCATTTTCACTCATAAAAAAAACTATTAATGATAAACATTATTGTATGGCCGTGTGGTCCCAGCATAGAATGGGCCACCCCTTCCTTTCCCGTGGGTGTCGTAAAAGGCGACTAAGGAAGGGCGAGGGATGGGCAGTAGTGTTTCACTTAAAACATCTCCAAAGCCTAACTGCGGTTGCTAATCCGCCTGCCAACCGTGGCATCTACTGGCAAAACAGCCAGAGGGAAGGCTTATGTTCAGCAGTGGACAGTTAAAGGCTGATATAATGATAGGAGTTCTTCAGAGAAAACTTCAAAAACACGAGAACAAATTTTCATAGAATAATAATGCGGTCTATCTGTAAGTATTTTCAGTAGAAATTGAAAATGACCCGGCTTCGCACGGGTGGCCATTTTTACATTTCTTTTTTTTATACAACTTTGAATAGCAAACAAGCTGACGGCCCACCTGATAGAAGATAGGCGTGAAGTTTATGAATGTATATAATAAAAAATGAGAGAAATAGAACATTTTTTTTTATTTTAAAATCATTTCAGTTTATATGTGTACTCAAACATATTTTGATGTAAATCAGCATTCACCTTCATGATCCAACCCGACGCCAGCCTCGTTTAACCTGTATAAATAAAAATGGTATTATTTCTTTGTACCGTGAGTAATTTCTTTTTATAATATCACCAAAGTGGTAAAAGATCATACAGCCCGTCTGATGGTAAGCGGTCACGTAACGTGCACGTTGCCGACCCTGAAGAAACCTTAATGCACCCTTTTTGAAGAACCCCATGCTGTAGTCTCTAGGGAAAACTTCGATAGGACCCTATAGTCTGAGTGTTTACGGGGGGAAACTCCTCTAAAACCGCACTTTACGGTTCCCTGTCGATGGCGAGCGATGCGATGATTAAAATTGGCCATAGGCACCATTTAGAACAATTCCTCTGAACATAATTAGTTATATACGAGTATATAATGTTATTTAATTTTATAATAAATTCAACTACTGTAGAAAAACTTTATTAATAACACAATAACATAGAGGGAAAGGGATTGTTAGTAATGGAGACTAAGAATCCCATTGCTAGCAATATACCCAACCAGGTCGATCTCCTCGCGGTTCTCCCTAGAAACTATCATGCTTAATTCCTGATGAATTCATCATGATGGGCTAACTGGCCTGTTTTCATTCTCATCTATCACCCTTCACTGGTGCTCCGCTAGCGTATCCCGTTAGCGCAGGCGGGGTTACCATGCCATTTTCACCCATAAAAAAAAAACAATAACATAACAAGATTAACAATTACTGCTAATCTACAACAATAATATACAACCATAATAAATTATAACAGTAAATAAAAGAAAATAAAGCACAAAAATATCTACGAGTAAAACAAAAAGTACAATTAAAAATCAAAAGAAAGGAATAAAGAGAAAATCTCTTAAAAAAAATATGCTACTGTTGCTATGGGTGTTAATTTAAAAAAAATATCGATACTTATAATAAAAAAATCGGTAATTGAATTGATACGACATGACGAACTTATGAACATTATAATAGAAGGTAAGATAGAAGGAAGAAGGGGGAGAGGGAGACCGAGGCATAGTTACATCAGGCAGATCAAGGAAGGAGTCGGTGTCGTGTCGTATCAAGAGGTGAAGAGACTCGCTGGAAATCGTAGTGAGTGGCGAGAGCTCCACCGACAAGAGCGCAGCTCTTAAATGTGATAGATAGATGTATACTGAGATAGTTTCACGAATGACGCCGCAAAATCGACCCTAATGACAATTGATGAAATTTCTATCGCGATCATTTACTGTCAGTACATTACGCTATCACTAGCATTCATTGGCTGAATAAATGGTTTCATTTGTTCAGTTGTTTATATGTAGTATACAATAAACACTTATACCGTGCCGTGTCGTCCCGGCATATTATGGGCCACCCCTCCCTTTCCTGTGGGTATCGTAAAAGGCGTGTATAAAAAAAAAGTATATTAAAATGTTGTTTTTAGACTTTTTCGGGATATTTTCTTAAATATTTCTCCCCGTAAGAATCATTCTCGTACTTCAAGGAATATTATAAAAAAAGAATTAGCGAAATCGGTTCGTAGTTCTTGAGATTTGCGCTTAGCAACACATTCAGCGATTCATTTTTATATTATAGATTATTAAATAACTATTAATCATCATATCAGACTTTAACTGTCCACTGCTGAACATGGGCCTTGCCCATAAGGGGTTTTTCCAGTAGCTGTCACGCTTGGCAGGCAGGTTGGCAACTGCAGTTCGCCTTTGATGGCATTCAAATAGGTACACTGCTGTCCATCCCTCGACCATAACGCGATAAGAAATGAAGTCGCAAGTGAAAGCTAGTAAATAAATAAACTCGACTGATTGATAAAACCTCAGAATTCATTGACGAAGATCTTTAACCAGTGCGTGTTGCCAGTTGCCACTGCCAATTGCCAATGACCGAAGTCAGTGGATGCAGGTGGGTCAGGACCGTTCTTTATGACACTCTACAGGGGAGGCTTATGTCCAGCAGTGGACGGATAATGGCTGGAATGGTGATGAGGACGAAAATACTGACCAGCAAAGATTGCTGTACGTCTTGCCATCTTTACCACAAACAGGGTCCCACTGGGTGGTGCAAACTGCGGTCGCTTCATTCCATATAAATATCGCCATCAGAAGTATAATTGCTGTGGAAAATATAGGTAATTAACATGGAGAGTGTGTTCTACAAAAGAAAATAGACATCAGTTACTACTCTCCATCCAAAGGTTGGCTGGAAGAGATCGCTCTTAGCGATAAGGTCGCCCATTGTTTTCTCGTTGTGATTATTTCTTGTAATTGTTTATATTTATAATAAGTTTACTATTGTAATCTTATGGAGGAAACAATAAAGAGTATCTATCTATCTATCTATCTATCTATCAGTTGCGCTAAAACCGGTTATTTTGATTAAAAAACTAAATTACTGATCAGATTTTGATAAAATTTCTATATAGTCTGTAAGTATATCCTTAGAAACGAAAAGAACTTTCCAAATAGGTTGAGAACTAATGGAGTTATAGTACATATATATAACATAAAAAAAATGCAATCGAATTGAGTACCTCCTTTTTAAGTCGGTTAAAAACTATATCATCACTACATAGTATATATATATATGTATATATATATATATATATATATATATATACATTTTGTAGTAGGTAGGTATATTTAGTATCAGCATTGCACCTGTGCGAAGCCGGGGCGGGTTGCTAGTAAACTTTTTTTTTACAACTGAGAATGGCAAACAAGTTGACGGCCCACCTGATAGAAAGTGGTAACCGTCGCATAGGCGACATGTCTATAGAGACATGAGCAGTACCATGGACATAACAGAGTATACTGTTTCGCGCATGATACCCCGCATGCGTTGTCATTCCTGAGGACTCAGGTGTTATTCCTCCATACCCAGTAAATTCACGCCATATCCCACCGTACAAACCGAAACATAGCCATGCAAACACAACTACTTCACGGTAGAAAAACGAATGGGAGAGAGGTACCCAAGCAATCGACTTTCGTACAAAGTCTCCCTCTGGTAATCTTATATTTTAATGGCCTATCTTTTTTGTTTTTTGAGAATTTCTATGAGCCTTTAAGGACATTCTATAGGATAGGAATATAATATCATTAGAAAAATATAGGAAAATACACTAGGGGTAAAAATTAAGGAATCAAAAATAAATTCCAAATTTTTTGAGGTTTTTCAAGTAGCTGTATTTCCCTTAAAAATGGTCGTATTGGAATTTAAAAAAAAAAGGATTTTAAAGCTCAAAGTTTCTAATTTTGAGATCTTATTATATCTCACCAACCACTGATCACACAAGGAAATTAAGGAGGGTTTCGAAATCTTGAATAAATTTCCGACAAACATAAACTATGGTTTTTTTAAAAAAGATTTTTTTTATTCTTTACATTAATTTGAAAAATCAAGAAAAAAAAAGGGCTTTTGGTGGCCTTTGGGATAATCAGGCGCTAAGATGGAAATACCGAGAAAACCAGTAATCTTGAGTGTGCTTTTTATAGTTCAATATGCCCACAAAACCCCACAAAGTTTCGATTTAATCCATCGAGCCGTTTTTTTTGTTTTACTCGATCAAATTTTTTAAAAGAATTAAAGGATCACAAATTTGACTTTAAATGATCATAATCTTTAACAAAATGCCAACAAATATTTTTTCAGATATTTTTATGCATTTTTATTGACAATACACGTTGCTTAAAAATTTTTTTCATCATAAGATCTCAAAAATAGAAAGTTTGAGCTTTAAAATCCTTTTTTTAAAATTCCAGTACGACCATGTTTAAGGGAAATACAGCTACTTGAAAAGCCTCAAAAAATTTGGCATTTTTTTTGATCCCTTAATTTTTTCCTCTATTGTATATATATCTTTCTTACCGAATACGAACTTCATCGTTAATATGATTATACTTATAATACATGTAAACCGTATTTATACTGTTTTGTATCTGTTATCTAAACTACGCGGTAAAACAACCGCCACGTAACCGAAGCGAAAGTCATTATTGTGAGTACTTATGTATAATACTGATGTTCCGTATATATTAAATTAATTGGTCATTCAATGTGTTTTTTTATGCAACTTAGAATGGCGATCAAGCTGACGTCCCACCTGATAGAAAGTGGTAACCGTCGCCTATAGACATGAGCAGTACCATGGAGATAACAGAGTGCACTGTTTCGCTTATGAAACCCCTATGCGTTGTCATACCTGAGAGCTGAGGTATTATTCCTCTGTACCCTGTAAATTCACTGCCATATCCCACCCTTCAAACCGAAACACAGCCATGCAAACACAATTGCTTCACGGTGGAAACACGAGAGGGACAGAGGTGACCAAGTAAACGACTTTTGTACAGAGTCTCTTCCTGGTGCATACACCAGGATGAGACTCTGTACAAAGATACATATATCTTAATTATAAATTTATTTAAAATAAAAAAATGATGGAAACTTCGTACAAAAGTCGTTTGCTTTGGCATCTTTATCTCATTCGAGTTTTTTACAGAAAGCTACAATGTCAACGAATAACGTGGAGATCCCGACATAGAATGAGCAACACCTTTCTTTTCCCATGGATATCGTAAGAGGCAACTAAGGAAACTTAATGGTCGAGGAATGACCAGCAGTGTCTCTTTTAAAACCAAACGGGGTAACTACTGAGCGCCTACCATAAAATAATTTTCGGGGCTGAACGAAAGACAAATTTAATGTTAAAATGATATAAAGCAAACCGTTTAAAAATATTAAAAACTTTAAAATATCGTTCCTTTAGACTTTTACGGTAGAATTTATGACAAACAAAATATTGACCACCATTTACGGATCAGATTTCAGTACGAAGTAAAACGCAAAACTCAGCACGAAAATTCGGAATTTCTCAGTATAAAAATTCGGAATTTCTCAGCACAAAAATTCGGAATTTCTGAGCATGAAAATTCGAAATTTCTGAGCATGAAAATTCGGAATTTCTGAGCATGAAAATTCGGAATTTCTGAGCATGAAAATTCGGAATTTCTCAGCATGAAAATTCGGAATTTCATTTCATGGTGGGCTCCCTAGTAAGGCAAAACCCCCGTGTTGACGACCGGCCGATACAAACTCCTTGCACTTTATCACGTACTTTTTTATACAAATTTACTTTTAGAACGTTATGATTTATAATTTCTATTTCGTATTTTTTTAAATTATCTTTCCTTGCCACTACTCTCAAATATCCCAATAGCGGAATGCTTATGTTCAGCAGTGAACAGTTAACGGTTATTATAAAAATAATAAAGCAAGTTTATACTTCTTAGAAATTTATAGTTTTTGATAACCTTCGTGGCATAGACATATTGTTTATACCAGGTTAAGTTTAAAGGGACAGTGGGGGAAAAAACATATATATAACAAATATGTTTTGCGTTTTGTTTTTAATTTAACGCGGTACTGTTTAGTTTGTCAATAATTTAAAAGATAACACAGTTCGTTGTCGTGACAATTAATAAAAACAGCCATTTAATTTTATTGCATTTACATCCGTGACTCGTGATATCCTTGAAACACGATAGTTTTTATTATATATATAAATTCAATAAAAATTACACAAACAAACAACTGTACATGAATTCTAAGAATGTGTAAATTATGTTCTATCGAATGTCTACTCTACCTAAGTTAATCATCGCGAATCAAATTCAATGTATTGATCTGTATACCGGTATATGTGTTTTGGCATCATACAAAAAATTATACACGAGTATATATATATTTAAAAAAAAATTAAAAAACGTCTAAATTTTTGTCGATTTTTCAAATATTTGATCAAAAATGGTCGTATTGTAGTAAAAAAAAAACTAAAGTTTAAATCCTGACGTTTCTTATCTTTCTTATTTTTGAAATCTTTCAAAAAAATTTTAAGTTACACGCATCGCACAGTCTTAAATATATATCATAAAACATTAATATTTAGAATTATTATTTCGATCTTATTTTTGGTGTACTTGTTTGATCCTTTATTTGTTCCGCTAGTGTAGTATAACTATTTGTACACACGCACGCATGCATACACTACACAGACATTTTTTTCATTTTACCATTCTACGTATCAAAAAAAAATCTCTCAAAATCCGAATGATATTTGGCACTTTGGAGAAAGATGAGGTGGTAGAATAATTGTATAATTTTATATAGTATAATAAATAATTTATTTACTAAATGCATGTACATGTGCAAGCAAATTATCATGTGCTTAAAGATACACTCACCATATAAGTACTTCATGGTGATTACAGTTTGATATCACTAAAAATAATAAATACATCCGAGCTTTTTATATAGTAAGGTAACAAAAGAATTAATTTCATTGTTTAACATTCTGTCACCTGTACGTAGATAGTATTGTAAGACATTTTTATATTTTATATGTTGTTTTTGTTTGGCATTTGTTAAATAATGTAAACCATTAATTGGATTCAGTACATTATAATCGAGTCTTTTTACAAACAACTCCAAAAGGATTTTTTTTTTATATACAACTTAGAATAGCAAACAAGCTGACGGCCCACCTGACGGAAAGTGGCAACCGTCGCCTATAGACATGAACAGTACCATGCACATAACAGAGTATACTGTTTCACCCATGATACCCCCCATGCGTTGCCATTCCTGAGGACTCGGTGTTATTCCTCTGTACCTAGTAAATTCACGCTATATCCCACCCTTCAAACCGAAACACAGCCATGCAAACACAGCTGCTTCACGGTTGAAACACGAATGGGACAGAGGTACCTAAGCAATCGACTTTTGTACAGTATTCCTCAAAATTGAAGTTGAAATGTTATCTACTGATCACATTATGGAATGCAATAAGAAATATATAAATAAATAGATTTGGATTATTTTTATCCAAAAGTATATACTTACATATTAGCCCCGGAAATTTTATTAAAATCTATTCAGTAATTTAGTTTATAAATCGAAATAACTGATTTTGTTACAACTGTGTGTCACAAAAGTGGAACAAAATATGAATTACAATATGGATGAAAAGAGGGGAAGGGGATTGTTAGTAATGGAGACTGAGAATCCCATTGCTAGTAATATACCCAACTAGGTCGACTTCCTCGCTGTTCTCCCTGGAAACTATCATGGTTAATTCCTGATGAATTCATCATGATGGGCTAACTGGCCTGTTTTCATTCTTATCTATCACCCTTCACTGGTGCTCCGCCAGCGTATCCCGTTAGCGCAGGCGGAGTTACCATACCATTTTCACCCATCAAAAAAAATATGGATGAAAACTGAACGTATCTTGAGAGTACATAGGCAAAACAGCTTATATACACTTGCATTGCCGAAATCTTTGACAAGTTGACTTGCGACTTGAAGATTTACTTATTTAACTCTTTATTGCACATGAACAAAAATATACAATGTCAAGTGAATAATTCAAGTGAAATACAGTAACATAAATACAGATTGAAATATACACATAAAGGTACAAAAGGCGGTCTTATCGCTACAGCGATCTCTTACAGACAACCTTTGGTTGAAGGAGAACAGATAGAAGTGGGTAGGTGGCGCAAGAGTAAATTAATAATTTTTCGTGCATAAAATATAAAAACCTGTAATGCACAACATCTTTAATCCAGTACCTAGAAGTTTCAACTTCCATATCTCCCTTCATATCTCATGTCAAGTTTGACACACATGGCAAGCTGTTTTGTGACAGGTGTACAAATGTCCTTGAGACTTTGAAAAATGGCATCCTTTAAAACAGTCTGCTCTCTGGCTATTACATTTTTAGTAGAGTAGACGAACAAGTTTCTTCAGAGACAGCAATACGAAGTGTCCTCTTCTGCACCTACGTTATGCAGTAACATAAAAATAGAACAATTGCTCTCACACGAAACCCTAAAACCATTTACGTCGAATCACTAATTGTTGTTTTTGAAAAATATTGTTTCGAATCCATACACCTGTTCAGACATGCATATATAATTGTACTTTTTATAAAATTTATTAATGAATGTCTAAAGAAAAACATAGCAGTTTTTCTCAAAATGCAAATAATAATATTAATAATAAATTCTTTATTAAGATTTTATTTTTAATGGATGATAATGGAATGGCAACCCCGCCTGCGCTATCGGTGTACGCTGGCAAGGCACCAGTGAGGGATGATAGGTAAGAATGAAAAAGCGGGTCAGTTGGCCCATCGTGATGAATACATATAGAATCCAGCACGATAGTTTCCAGGGGGAACGACGTGGCGGTCGAGGTGACAGGGTATATTGCTAGTAATGGGACTGATAGTTCGCATTACTAACAATCCCTTCCTCCCCCTTCTTTATTAAGATTACCAGGATCTACACTTTTTTTTATTTTTGTTATCAAATTGTTATAATTACAATGATAATTGGGTTCATTCGACATGTAACTTTTAAAGGAGTCAGAAGTAAAACGAGCATACACTATTTACAACTTTAATATTTTTAAAACGCAATAATCAATTTATTTATTTATATGCGATTGTAGATTCACTTATAATATAGATACTAGGTTATAGCAAAAATGTACATAGGTGGACTTATAGGACGCCTTAAAGGAATTTCTTCCAGTCAACCTTGAGAAATATGATGTACCAGTGAGGGATAAGTGAAGATGAAGTGGTTCCTTGTGTGGAATTCACTGTGCATTAATCATGACAGTCTCCAGAGGGGCCGAGTGGAGGTCGACCTGATAGATTATACTGTAAATAATGGAACCGCTGAACCCTATTAGGGACAATCCTCGCCCCCCGACCTTACTCCAAATTACACTTTCAAATGATATACATACTAGTGCTCATTTACTTCGTCTGAGTATTATACAGAATGCCGAAGTCGTTTAAATCCTATGAAGGGAATAAAAATGTCCACGATCAATATAGTGGACATTTTGATAAAGAAACGAAAGTTAAAACAATTTTGAACTTTTTAAAAATTTTTGGTTTACAGTTTTTTTTTTTTAAATTAATCCCATGTTACTCGCGATATATGTATATGTATATGCTTTTATGGATGAAAGAATTTTCCAAATTAGTTAAGTTTTTTTTTATATCATAGAGTAGGCAAACAAGCACACGGCTCACTTAATACTAAGCGATTACCGTAGCCTATACAAGTGATTTTCAATCAATTTCAAAAAAATCCCCCCCTTTTTTTTTGTTCTCCGTTAGTTCTAGACGGATTTGAGATTAATTCTATAAAAAATTTGAAATCCAATAGAAATCCCTATAAGGAAAGCTTCTGCCAGTAGTTGCCACGCTCGGCAGGCTGGTCGACAACCGCTGTTAGACTTTGGAGATGTTTTAAGAAAGACACTGCTTTCCATCCAATGCCAAATAAATAAATAAATTCATCATCACGTCAGCCTTTAACTGTCCACTGCTGAACATAAGTCTCCCCCTTGAGGGTTTTGCCAGTAGTTGGCATGCATGGCAGGCGGCTTGGTAACCGTAGTTAGGCTTTGGAGATGCTTTAAGAGGGACGCTGCTGCCCATCCCTCGTACTCCCTTATTCGCCTTTTACGATACCCACGGGAAGGGGTGGCCTATTCTATGCCGGGACTAACGGCCTAAAAATAAATATTTCAATTTATATATAAGGATCGGTTCAGCCTTGCTTCTGCCCCGGTTGGACTCGGACTGCTACGACATGTAACTTGAATATGTGACAAGAACTTTACTCTTATATTTTTTTCTTTCATGTGTAATTCATTTGATTTTCATTTCTATCAGAAGGAAAGAAATGTTAGAACACTTGATAAGACACGACGAAGTTATGAACATTATAATAGAAGGTAAGATAGAAGGAAGGAGGGGAAGAGGGAGACCAAGCCATACTTATATCAGGCAGATCAAGGAACGAGTCGGTGTCGTGTCGTATCAAGAGGTGAAGACACTCGCTGAAAATCGTAGTGAGTGGCGAGAGCTCCACCGACAAGAGCGCAGCTCTTAAATAGAATAAATAGATGTATAATGATATAATATAGATACACAGACGTTCGCAAAAGTTACATTAAAGGGTTACATCTATTTTAAATATAGTCCCTTTGAATAATATATATTTCCCCAATACGTTCAGGTAAATTTAATGTTGATTTTACATTTTATTTATATCAGCTTTTAAGCGAACCCGATGTGAATGTTAAAATAGATTTATGTAACCTAAAATATGTAGGGGACCTTTTTAGATGGTCTAGCTAGACTGAAAATTTATAAAGGTCTAAAAATCTGTATATTTATACGATGTGTTTTTGCCTGTAAATTGATTAAAGCCGCTAGAAATAACCAGTAGAGAAGAAATTAGTTATTATTAAAATGCCAGTTTATTCATCAATGTAGAGGGTAGTTACCAGTTACTAATGTAAAGGTGGCGCCATCTAGTTTCAAGAATTTTTAGATGTTTTCCATTATACACAAAGAAAGCCTTTTTTTAAGTGTGACACTCTTTCTATGTAATAAGAATGACCAGCCCCGACTTTGCACGGATAGTAAAGTATATATGCTTACATTTTTTGCTTTAGCTTCTTTTGTCGAGTATAAATTAAATGGGTATAGTAACTTATCCTTAAAAGGCAGACTTATTCTATCGCAGACTTTTTTGTAGACCTATAAAAAAGGATCAATCCCACCATATATTGTTTTATTATATCTCAAACGGATTAAGCAGCGTTTTCACTAAAAGCTGTCACATTCTAATCTAGTCTAGTCTAATAATCTAATATGTGACTGTCAAATATACTTTCGCTTTTTCTTAAAGACTTTAAACTCTTTCATATGAGTAAAAATTTGTAGCACTTCAGCTGCCCGCTAACGACATGCTTTCTAACTGCATTGGGTTGACTGGAAGTGATCTCTGTCAGAGATAAGTCCACCTCTGCTCACAACATTTATAAATGCATTAACAATGTAATTTACAAGTGCAATAAAGAATATATTTAAAATGGCAACTTAACGTAAGGTACTTAAAATAAAACAATGCCTCGAATTGTTTGAAATTTTATTAAAGACCGAGTGTCGGGTAATCTTTCTCTACAATATGATTGATGATGATGACCAGAATGATTCAGTTCTCACACGGACCCTCGTGATCTAACCGGACGCCAGCGTTATTCAACCTTTGAAAATAAAATTTAATATTATTAAACGTATATATTATTCTGCAACATTCTATTCACCAGAGGGAGCCTTTGTACAAAAGTCGTTTGCTTGGGTGCCTCTGTCCCATTTGTATTTGAATCGTGAAGCAGTTATGTTTGCATGGCTGTGTTTCGGGTTAGATATAGCAGTGAATTTACAGGGTACAGAGAAATAACATCTGAGTCCTCAGGAATAGCAACGCATGGAGGTATCATGGACGAAACAGTATACTCTGTTATGTCCATGGTACTGCTCATGTATATAGGCGACGGTTACCACTTTCCATCAGGTGGGCCGTCAGCTTGTTTGCCATTCTAAGTTGTAGAAAAAAAATCCATCTTTCCAATTCATAACAAGTCTGTTTAAAAACAATTTTAAATAAACTTCTATAATGTAATTATTTCTCTCTCCATAGTGTCTCTCTTAAAATATCACCAAAAACCCCTAAACCCCTAAACCCTACTTATGGGGAAGCTATGTTCACCAGTGGACGTAACATTAACATGGCTGATACAACAATTTAATTATTTATAATATCAATTTTATCATTTATTTTATCATTAAATACTCTTCAAACTCTTTCATTTATTAACTATAAAATTGACAAACTAAAATTGTGTAATTGTAAAATATAAATTTCTACATAATTTCATTTTACACTTTCTATAGAATGTACATATTTGCATGTCTACATCGTTTAAACCAATTAAACAGGTGCCAAACTCACCACTACGTGACCTTTGTTGATAGTTGTAAGAATGCTTAATGCAAATAAACACATAATATTTATTGCAATAACAATAATAATTAATGCAAATAAATTCATTTCAATACCTTTACATGATCTGCCATATTGTAACACTAGCTCTCTTGAAAATATTACAATTTACCTATCGTACTATTGCCAAATGTAAAGATTTGTTCATCAGAGGAAGACTTTGTACAAAAGTCGTTTGCACTTGTCGTTTGGGCACCTCTGTCCTATTTGTGTTTCTACCGTGAAGCAGTTGTGTTTGCATGGCTGTGTTTCGGTTTGATTGGTGGGATATGGCGTGAATTTACTGGGTACAGAGAAATAACATCTAAGTCCTCAGGAATGGCAACGCATGGGGGTATCGTGGGCGAAACAGTATATTCTGTTATGTCCATGATACTGTACATGCCTACAGGCGTCGGTTACCACTTTACATCGTCAGCTTGTTCGCCATTCAAAATTGGTTGGTAGGATTAGATTTTTATTCATCTTGCAAGAATTAAAATAAACAAACATACATTAATAGCAAATTAAACATAAGTCTTTAATTAAATTGAATCAATGATTACAGTAAGAACTACGAAATATGTGAATTGGTTGTCTTTTTTAAGTCATTTAAAGACAATAGGCTGAAATTGGGGGGAAAGGGATTGTTAGTAATGGAGACCAATGGTCCCATTGCTAGTAAGCCCTGTCAGGACGACTTCCACGCGGTTCCCCTGGCAAAACTTCGTTATTAATACATGCGTAAATATAAAGGTATGTTTAAATACAATAAATCTAATGATCTAGAACGACAGATTCAAATTTTTGTAGATAGTTTTATATGCTTGATGATGATGATGATGATGATGATGATGATGATGATATCAGCCATTAACTGTCCACTACTGAACATAAGCCTCTCCCTATTGGAGAGTTTTGCCAGTAGTTGTCAGGCTTAGCAGGCAGGTTAACAATCGCAGCTAGGTTTTCGTGATGTTTTAAGAATGACGCTTCTGCCCATCTCTCGGCCATTAAGTTTCCTTAATCACCTCTTAAGACACCCACGGAAAAACAGGGATAGCGTGTAATTTTTTTATACCACTTAGAAAGGCAAACAAGCTGACGGCCCACCTGTTGGAAAGTGGTAACCGTCGCCTATAGACATGAGCAGTACCATGGACATAATAGAGTATACTGTTTCGCCCATGATGCCTCCCCATGCGTTGCCATAAAGAGAGTTGTATAAAAAGATTGATGAACGTGGAAGAAGTTAAAGAGATCTGTTTGTATCTAAGCATTTGGCGTTCCTTTTTTTTCGCCTGTCCTAATTGGAGACAGGCGTGACAGATATGTGTATATGTATTTACTTATGTATTGTAATTATAAATGTTCAAAAATGGCAGATTTAAATTTTATTAACAAAAATGGTTTATGTTCTTACAAACACTTATTTCCGTATGTAACGCCGTCGACGCCACAAACGGGATCGTAGACAGCTGGGCACACATCACCAGCGCTGGCAAGCAGCACCAAAGCCAGAAGGAACACGATTACTGTAAAAAAATATTGGGTACTTCTTTAAGAAGCATTAAAGAAACCACTCAGTGATCAGTTCTGACTGATATAAAACCAAAATTGGTATTTAAAGTGTGAACTACGATTTTTTTATTTAGAATCGTAATATGTTTTAGACACTTTGTTTGATACTGGCGTTTCTCTCGTGTCTGAGTAGTTTTCACCGATATTATGTATTATAATATATATATAAAGTAGGTAGTATGAGTAGATAGATAGATAGATACTCTTTATTGTTTCCTGCAAAAGATTACAATAGTAAACTTATTATAAATATAAACAATTACAAGAAATAATCACAGTGAGAAAACAATGAGCGACCTTATCGCTAAGAGCGATCTCTTTCAGGCAACTTTTGGATGGAGAGGAGTAATTATAAACAATTTGGTGGGAGGCACGATGAAAAATTCTATTAATTCTAAATATGGAGAGGTGATACTATATTATTATATGTATGTTATTTTTGAATTACAGTTTTAATTTAATATTGTTCATTGTTGCATAGTCAATTATATTTTTCGTTATTCCTGTGTACGGTCGGCTGGTAGATAACGCCATATGGTGTTAAGTCCGCCATTTACATTATCTAGACGTATGAAAGTTGACATTAAATACATAAATGTGAAAATAATTATGTTTATTTAATTGTTACCTTTTAACGCCTTAATGGCTTAACCCATTCACTTTGAAAATTGGTATACACAAACTATATAGGATGGAGAAGATCTTTTTCAAGTCACGCAGACGAGGTCGCGGGTAAAAGTTATTATAATACACAAAAATAAAAATTAGACGAATTGAAACCTTATAGTAAAGATTCATCTGTCTTAATACAGAACGAGAACTTACCAAAAAAATACTTCATAGTACGTGAAATATAATTAGTTTCCAATGTAAACCTCTCAAAGAATGTTGCCTGTTTTATACTGCGGTATAACAATAGACTACTTATTTATTAACATTCCACCATCTGTATCCACGTTATTTTAATGCTTATATTATATTTTTATTTCATTTATCGACGATAAATATTTATTACACTGCACATTATTTTATGGGTTCTGTATTTATTTATTCATTAGTACATATATGTGTACATGGCGGACTTAATGCTAAAAGCATTCTCTCCCAGTCAACCATAAGGAAGTGTCAGAATACTCGAATGCGGTACTAGTAATTATTGATATACATACATACTAAAATTACATATATAAACGAATGAATATATATAAATAACAAATATACTTACATATATAAATATAATAACATATACTATATTATACATGAAATTGAGAATAACATAAAATATAATAAGTACGATTGTAAAGTATTCTTGCCATTATAACTTCAGTCATTAACAGAATAGAATAAAAATACATTTATATAATAGATTTTTTTTTATACAACTTAGAATGGCAAACAAGCTGACGGCCCACCTGATGGAAAGTGATAACCGTCGCCTATGACATGAGCGGTACCACGGACATAACAGAGTATACTGTTTCACCCATGATACCCACCATGTGTTGCCATTCCTGAGGACTCAGGTGTTATTCCACTGTGTTTGACAGCCCTATTGCTAGCAATATGCTCTATTAGGTCGACCTCCAAGTAATTCCCTCTGGAAATAATCGTGAACAATTCTTGTTGAATTCGTCACGATGGACTAACTGACCTGCTTCATCCTCACCTATTATCCTTCACTGGTGCCCCGCCGGTGTATACCGATAGCGCGGGTGGGATTGCCATTCCATTATCAGCCATTAAAAAAAAAATAGTACAGTCGAATAAGATATCAAGGAACTCTATATAGGTATATTAAAGAAGTTGTTTCTTCAAAAAAATATTTATTCAGGTTTCATTACACTTGTTATTGGCATTGTATGTACATTTGTATTTTTATTTAGATAAATTGAAATAGATTTTATTATAAAGCATATTGAATAAATTAAATTATGCTAATATAATTTATAGACGTAGTAAAGATGGGATCGTTTTTAAAAAAAATTGCGGATGATTTCATTTTTTATACGACTTAAAATGGCAAATATACTGACGCCCTCATATTGTAAAGTGGTAGCCGTCGACTATAGACATTAGGAGCACAGAATATACTCTGATTCACACATATCATCACGTCAGTCCACTCGAGACGTCCTGGTCGAAATGTCAAAATAATTCGGGTAAATTACCATAATCTAACTTAATAAATAATTGTATTAAATCCCGCCTTTAAAAAACATAAAACATGGTGTAGGAAAGTCGAAAAATTAATATTTATAATATACGAGTAAGTTATGTTTTATAAAATATTTTTATTTTTAAATTAAGATAATTCTGTTCAAAATGTCTACCATTTAGTTGACTGATAATTTTTATTTTATTTTTTTTTTACAACGCAGGGGCAAACGAGCATGCGGCTCACCTGATGGTAAGTGACTACCGCCGCCCATGATCACCCACAACACCAGCGGCATTGCAGGTGTGCTGCCGGCCAAATTCATTAATAATAATTATAACAGCAAAAGACAAATCAATGTTATAAATCTAGTGTGCTAACATACAGAGTTATAATAAATATATTTAACCCGACTCTAGATATTTGTGAGCCGCTTCCAATATCTTTGGCGGGCTACTACTAAATATATCAATGATATTTATAGTATTATAATGTATTCTTTTATTCACTGGCATACTCCGTCGTAAGCATATTCTGCTCCAGCTGCTTCGAGCCTGGAAAACAAGTAAAATTATTACCACCAGGTGCTTCAATGTACATGTCATAATCATCACAGCCATTATCTGTCCACTGATGAACGTAGGCTTCTACCATACTCTGCTTCTAAGAAGGCGTTCCTTATAGCAGACTAGAAGAACCTAACCTTTATAGGTGGTAGAGCCACGCTGTAATACCATATGATATTGCAGCATGAATGGGCCGGCTCGACCGGGGAAGTACCACACCCTCACAGAATACCGACGCTAAGTGGTTGCACTTTTAGTGCGATCACATTCCGTATGGTGAGTGAGGGAGTCCGGAGGCCCATCCCATACCCATCCCATACCCATCCCTTTCCTATTCCTAAAATCCTTTCCCCAACCCCGTCCCCCTATCTTACAACACGCAACCATGGCAGTGGAATTAAAAAAAAATAACATACCCCAGGGAGGTACCAGTAACCATGTTGCTGGAGAATCCTCTCTCGAGCAACCACGCTCGGGCTGCCCTGCGTATTCTGGGGGGGCAAAATTCCGCTCTTTGGAACCAAGGGCAAACGGAGCAAGATTTCTACGGCATCCCCTTCGCTCAATGTGAGCTTCTGCAATATCAGGGGATTACATTCTAACCTAAACGCTGTCCACCACCACCTAGAAACGGCGCGGCCGGCATTGCTCTTTCTAACGGAGACACAGATATCCTCTCCAAACGAAACTTCATACCTGACGTACCCGGGCTATAAACTTGAACATTGTTTTGTTTCGCGTGCCGGTGTATGCGCGTATGTCAGAGAGGATATCTGCTGTCGCCGCCTTGGAACTCTTGAAGGTACGGACCTGTCTATTTTATGGCTGCGCGTAGACTGCAATGACCATCCTCGCGTCTATGCATGCCTATACAGGTCCCACAGCGGTAACATCGAAACCGACCAACTCATTGAGCACGTCCAAATGGCTACAGATTCCCTGCTCGAACAGATTCCTTCCGCTGAAGTCGTGATTCTTGGCGATTTTAATGCCCACCATACCGAATGGCTTGGTTCACGTACAACCGACTATGCGGGAAGATCTGTTCATGACTTTGCTTTGGCTTATGGTCTGACGCAGCTTGTTTCCTCGCCTACGCGAATACCTGATGTGTTGGACCATTCACCTTCACTGTTGGACCTTCTGCTGACCACCCACCCAGACAACTATGTGATTTCCGTCGAAGCTCCGCTTGGATCGTCGGATCACAGTCTGGTGCGGAGCGAGGTGCCTCTCATGAGTCCGATTCCACCACGTTCCACGGGTAGACGTCGTGTTTGGCACTACAGGTCAGCAGACTGGGATGAGATGCGGATTTTTTTCGCATCTTACCCATGGAGGCAGGTTTGCTTCACACTGGATGATCCCGACGCCATTGCCGATTCCATTGCTGATGTGGTGCTTCAGGGAATGGAATTATTTATTCCTAACTCTGTGGTGCCCGTCGGCGGGAAATCCCAGCCCTGGTATGGAGCCTCTTGTAGAACAGCATCTCGTCTGAAACAGGAGTGCTTCCTAACCTGGGCTAAAGGTGTGGCGATGCGGGATCCTAACACCAGTGCTCTTAAAAAGAAGTATAACTCTGCCTCTAGGTCTTTCAAAAGAGTTATAGCCACAGCGAAGTCCGAGCATATTAGTAGAATTGGCAAGAGATTGGCTAGTTTGCCCTCTGGAACTCGAGCTTTCTGGTCTCTTGCCAAAGCTGCACAAGGGAATTTCTGTAAGTCATCTTTTCCACCATTGCGCAGGGAGGATGACTCGTTGGCCCAGAACGCTAAGGAAAAGGCCGATCTTCTTGGATCCATCTTTGCGTCAAACTCGACATTGGATGACGGGGAGAAATCACCACCGACCATCACGTGTTGTAGGAGCTCTATGCCTGACATTAAATTCACGCATAGCTCAGTGCGTAGAGCACTTTTCTCCCTCGAAATCCATAAGTCGAGTGGGCCCGATGGTATTCCTCCAATTGTGCTTAGGACGTGCGCACCAGAGTTGGCTCCGGTTCTTACGCGTCTTTTCCGGCTTAGCTACTCATCGGGCATAGTCCCAAAGTTTTGGAAGACTGCTCTGGTGCATCCGATCCCTAAAAAGGGAGATCGCTCAGATCCAGCTAACTATAGGCCCATAGCTATCACTTCCTTATTCTCGAAGGTTATGGAATCCATCATTAACCGTCAACTGCTCCGGTACCTAGAAGAGCACCAGCTGATCTGTGATCGCCAGTACGGCTTTCGACAGGGACGTTCGGCTGGTGATCTTTTAGCTTACTTAACACACCGATGGGCAGTGGCAATCGAGAGTAAGGGAGAGGCCTTAGCAGTTAGTCTGGATATCGCGAAGGCCTTTGATCGGGTGTGGCATAGAGCGCTGCTTTCAAAGCTACCTTCATTTGGGTTGCCTGCGAGACTGTGCATTTGGGTCGCCAGTTTTCTCAAGGAACGTAGCATTAAGGTCGTAGTCGACGGAGCATGCTCTGATTTAAAACCTTTGAATGCTGGTGTCCCGCAAGGCTGTGTACTATCTCCGACTCTGTTTCTTCTGCATATCAATGATATGTTACAGATAAGTAATATTCATTGCTATGCAGACGACAGTACAGGAGATACATTATATACCGGTCATGCAAAGATCTCGCGGGCACATACCGATGAGTGCCGGAATAGACTTGTGTCTGAAATCGAAACTTCACTCCATCAAGTTTCGATCTGGGGTGAACAAAATCTTGTCCAATTTAACCCCAAAAAGACACAAGTCTGCGCGTTTACCGCAAAAAAGACGCCGTTTGTCGTATCTCCTCACTTTCAGGGCACTTCCCTTGATAAAAAGTCGAGTCTAGGAATTCTGGGCGTTGATATATCTTGCGACGTCCAGTTTTGCGGTCATCTGGAGGAGAAGGCTAAGATAGCTTCCAAAAAGTTAGGAGTGCTCAATAGGGTGAGACGATATTTCATGCCAGAACACCGCCTGAAATTATATAAAGCCCAAGTCAGGCCGCATATGGAATACTGTTCTCACCTGTGGGCAGGAGCGCCACAGTACCAACTCCTTCCGTTAGACCGCATTCAGAGTCGGGCGGCTCGAATTATCGATAGTCAACGCCTTACTGTCCGGCTTGATCCACTGAAACTGCGCAGAGATGTTGCATCTCTGTGCATCTTCTACCGAATTTATCATGGGGAGTGTTCTGAGGAATTGTTCGGATTGATACCTGCTGCTGATTTTCACCACCGTACAACCCGCCACAAACTAAAGTTTCATCCCAATCATCTGGACGAGTGGCGGTCTTCCACCGTGCGTTTTTCAAGGCACTTTCTTCCACGCACAACCATTCTTTGGAATCAACTTCCAGCAGCAGTATTTCCGAACCGATACGACAACATAACCTTCAAGAAAAGAGTATATTCCTTTTTAAAAGGCCGGCAGCACACCTGCAATGCCGCTGGTGTTGTGGGTGATCATGGGCGGCGGTAGTCACTTACCATCAGGTGAGCCGCATGCTCGTTTGCCCCCTGTGTTGTAAAAAAAAAAAAAAAAAAAAAAAACCTAGAAGGAATAACAGCTGAGTCCTCAAAAATAGCAGCGCATGGGGGTATCATGGGTGAAACAGTATACTCTGTTATATCCATGGTACTGTTCATGTCTATAGGCGACGGTTACCACTTTACATCAGATGGGCCGTCAGCTTATTTGCCATTCTAAGTTGTAAAAAAAAAAAACAAAAAAAAATATGATTTTTATAAAAGTACGAAGTTACCATACTCACATACAATAATTGCTGTATGTTACCCCATCGGTGCTGCAGACTGGATCATACTCCGTAGTGCAAACTTGCGCATTTCCCATCAGCACCATAGCCAGAAAGAAGAAAACAATAGCTGTGAATGAAATACGAGGTCTGTCCGGAAAGTTCGTATAAAAGTGTTCTGGAATGCGAGAAAGAGGAGTGGGGAGGCCAGGTAAGCGCAGGACCCCTTCCTTATGTCCCTAACAATGCTTCAGTTCTGGTCTGACCGCCGTGCGGTGCGAACTGGCTTGTCACGCCATCTGTGAAGTTACCTCTTAACGAAACCCCGTCGGCATGGAGCCCGCTTCCGTTGAAGAGCAGCGCGTCGTAATCAAGTTTCTCTCGAAACTCGGCAAGAATGGCCGTGAAATTTTTGCCGATCTCAGAACAGTTTATGGGGATGATGCTGTGAAGGAACCAACCGTCCACAAGTGGCTAAAAAGATTCAGAGAGGGCCGAGAAAGCGTTCAAGATGACCCACGTTCAGGACGTCCTTCCACTTCACATTCCGACGAAAACGTGGAAAGAATTCGAACTTGTGTTAATGGGGACCGTCGTTTAACGGTCAGACAGGTGGCTGAAGAGCTTAATTTGGGCAAAACCGTGGTCCACGAAATTCTAAGAAACGAACTTCAAATGAAAAAAATTTGCGCCAAGATCGTTCCGTGAGTTTTTGAGTAAAAATTCCATTACGGTGACCGAACACCCCCCCTATTCGCCGGATTTGGCCCCGTGTGACTTCTTCTTGTTCCCAAAAACCAAATTGGTACTTCGGGGGCGGCATTTGGGGGACATAAATGAGATAAAAAAAGCTACGACGGGGCAGCTGAGAAACCTACAACCAGAGGACTTTCAAGGAGCCTTCTCACAGTGGAAACGGCGTTGGCACAAGTGCATTATGTCACAGGGGGAGTACTTTGAAGGGGATAAAATTGATTTACCTGAATAATTGTAAAATAAAATTTTTAAAAAACTTTTATACGTACTTTCCGGACAAACCTCGTAATGTTGATCTCTTAGGTAAATAAGAAATACTCAAGGGGGTTTTTTTTTACAACACAGGGGGCAAACGAGCATGCGGCTCATCTGGTGGTAAGTGACTACCGCCGCCCATGGTCACCCACAACACTAACGGCATTGCAGGTGTGCTGCCGCCCTTTTAAAAAGGAATATGCTTTTTATAATAGAGAGGGCAGACAATTTTGAATAAATGAATAACTTTGAATCCAGGCTATCAATTTAGAAAACTTTAAAGTCCGTTTTATAAGAGGAACATGTAAATTTTATAATGAAAATCTAGTCAAAGTGGATCTATTTACAGGTTGTTGACTCGTTTGAATAACCGACTTCAAAAAAGGAGGTTCTCCTTTCAGACATATTTCTTTTTTACGTTAGTTACCCCATAACTCTGTCTGTTATAAACCTATTTGGATAATTCTTTTTTTTAACAGAAAAGATATGCTTACATAGAAATCTTATCAAAATTAGTCGAGTAGTTTAGTTTTTAAATCAAAATAAATTTTGTAAAAATTAAAGTCGATTATTTTCGTGCATCATCGTCATCATTTCAGCCGTTAACTGTCTACTGCTGAACATAAGCCTTCCCCATAAGGGGAGTTTTGTCAGTAGCTGCCAATCTACTTATAGTCTATATAGTCTTGTCGATGAATGTCAAAATGTACTAAAGAAGAAAGCCGTTGAGTTGTACATGAATATAACGAAAATATATATATTGCTGGTGTTACAGAAGTTTTATTAAGTATTTATTTATTTATAGGATTACCAACATAAGATACAGCTAAACATTTCAATACAATACACTGGCAGATTAGATCTAACTGTTCCTACATTTATAGGCAACCACAGCATGCCTTGTGTTTGATAAACATTAAAATAGAATTAAATTATTAAATGTCATTATATGAGTAAAGTTATTGACAATATGAATAATAATATAATATAAATAAAGGAAATTGTATTTAAATTATTTTAAATTATAAATAAATAGAATCTAATGGCGAGGTACATCAACATTTTAATTTAGCCATGAACACAGAGTAACTATCGTTGTGAATATCAAGTTCAGGCTTGGTTTTTACAATATCGTTATATTGTCGTGTAAACTGGAAGGTCAAGGAGATAGATAGATAAATACTCTTTATTGTTTTCTCCAAAAGATTACAATAGTATTATAAATATAAATATTTACAAGAAATAATTACACTGAGAAAACAATGGGCGACCTTATCGCTAAGAGCGATCTCTTCCAGGCAACCTTTGGATGGAGAGGAGTAATTATAAACAATTTGGTGGGAGGCACGATAAAAAATTTTGTTAGTTCTAAATATGGGAGATATAGAAGTACACCAAAACACTTGACAGGCAGGTTGGCAACCGCAAATAAGTGTTTAGAGATGTTTTAAGAGGGACGCTGCTGCACATCTTTCTATCTTTAAATTCTTTAGACGCCTTTTACGACTCATTTGCGACTTTATTAAGCGAACTTTTCCATTATTTATCTAATTGTAATTAATGTAATAAATAAATGTACCTACTTAATTTAAAATTTAAATTCAGTTCACGGCGTATTTGTTTCTCTTTCAAATATTGTCGTTTTAAACATCTGTTTATATAAATCTGTTAAATTAAAACTTCGTACCTATTCCTATTCCAATAGTGTTTACAAACAATCTAGTAACATTATATTGCTTTGTTTGCATTAGCCTTGACATTTTTAATTCTGTCTCCAAGGCGCGCCATTTAAAATTCAAAGCAACTAATTATACGGAATAATTGCTTTTTAAAATATCAACTTGCATAAACTAGCATAGTGCAGCATGCGATTACAGGGTGATAGCTATGCAGTATGCATTTTGAATATATATTTTTTTTTATTAGTAGAGAGGCAAACGAACAGTTTGTCTACCTCCTATGAACACCTGCAACATGAGAGAAGTTATTTTATCACAAGTATTTGGCCGTGTGGTCTAGACATAGAAAAGGTTACCCTTTCCTTTCTTATAGGTTATATTCGAATTCCTACAGGAATAAATTGCTGAAGCACTTTGTACAACAATCTAATGAAAATTAACTCTAATTATCATAATATATTTTTTTAATATTTTTTAATTCAATTCACTCATAATCGTATTTTCTGATATTGCTAACAACTTGGGTTACATGTTTGTTTTTATTATTTACTTCATTTTCTCGCACTGTATAATTATGTTAAAGTGAATGCTGTGAATACCTATAATAGGCGTGTGCATTAATATTGTATTATATTTAATGTTTGTTACACCTATATGTTATAATGCAATATGTTGTTGGTGTTTCTTAAAAAAATAAATAAATAAATAGGTGTTGTAAGAGGCGACTAAGGGAACTTAATGATCAAGGATGATCACTAAGTTCCCAAATTCATTGATCATCGATCAACGAAAGAAAGAATAAATAATCTTGAATCTTGAAAGGGATGGGCAGCAGCGTCCCTCTTAAAACATTACCAAAGCCTAACTGCCGATGTGCCCGCCAAGCTTGGCAACTGTTGGCAAACCCTCTACTTATAGAGGAGAAGTCATTTAACGGCTGATGTAATGATGATGACGAATCTTTGTGTACAACAAAGTGTATATAAAAAACTAAATCTCTCCAAATTATATTAAATACTAGCGATCCGACCCAGCTTCACACTAGTATCTTATCTTATTTTTCGCATATGGGGTCAGCTAAGCCGATGCACGTCGACCCATACGGATCTTTTGTGCTTCCCCCAGCCTTATACCATCATTTCACAGATCCTCTTTTCTTTCACACGAGTAGGTAGAATTTTCGAATTTCTATACATGGAGTGAAAAAGTTTCAGCCAATCAAATGATCGATTATTTTATAGTTCTTTATATGTGTTTCTTTAGATTGATATAACTTTTTTATTTATGAACCGATTGAAATAAAATAAACACTAAATGCAAACTGCAACATATTAGTGAAAACCACATTAAAATCGGTTAAGCCGTTTTTGAGATTAGCGTGCACAAACGTACAGACAAACAGACAAAAATTCTAAAAAAATCATTGTTTAGGGTTCTATTGAGTACATAAAGCCTCCCTGTAATATTTTTTCTTCTATAGCTTCTATGTACAGACAGCGATCAGTAACGATTTTATTATATGTATTGATGAATTTAAATAATAAATGATTGGTTGAAACTTAACTTGCACATTAGAACCAAGAGATAATAAACAAATAAATAAAGATAAGCTTTAATCTATATACAAGAAGAAACGTGCGTATGTAAGAAGAGAGACATCTGTCACTTCTCTGCGTACCCCTTAAGGGAGTTACCGTGAAATATGATTTTGGGGGGGGAAATGGATTGTTAGTAATGGAGACTAAGAATCTATTGCTAGCAATATACCCAACCAGGTCGACCTCCTCGCGGTTCCCCCTGGAAACTATCATGATTAATTCCAGATGAATTCATCATGATGGGCTAACTGGCCTGTTTTCATTCTCATCGATCACCCTTCACTGGTGCCCCGCCAACGTATCCCGTTAGCACAGGCGGGGTTACCATTCCATTTTCATCCAATAAAAAAAAAATATATCATTTGCTTACCTAATAAACGCTCCATCCTACGTTGATTCTGGATCATTACTAATAATGTTTTAGCGATGATTCTCGTTTTATATGTACTTCTAGTATAATTGTGGTTACAGGAAAATATATTCTTTTTTTCCTTATCAATCTTTAACGAAGCAAACAGGTCAAGCACAAATCTATTATTTTTATAAATCATATGAAATAAATAGAAACGAAATGAAATTTATTTGCCAGAAACATTGTAGATAATATGTTGCATTTATCAAGTTTACCAGGGCCTCACGAATTCGTCGATGGAATCGACATCGAGTACGTGAGATAGAATGAAATAGCAACGCCGGGTGGCTCATTCTAATTCACGGAGTCGCTAGCGATGTCGATTCCATCGGCGAATTCGCTTGTCACTTGTCTAGAGGATATATATATATATATATATATATATATATATATATATATATATATATAGACATATATATATATATATTATTATATATATATATATTATTTCCTCTTGTCGGTGCAACTAATTATATGCATCTTCTCCCAGCTAGCTCTATTCCAGATCATATATTTGACCTCCCTATACGCCATGATACTTAGTTGAAAACGGCGCTGGTAGGAGAGGAGGGCAGCGACAATAATAAAATAATAATATAGAGAGAGGCTTACCAATATATTTTCTTAGACGTACACACTTCATACAAATAACAATAATAATGTCACTCAAATAGAAAAACAAAATAAGTATCAAAAAGACATATTCATAATATAAAAATATAATGCTAAAAAGGTAAATTATATAAAAAGAGGTCTGTCGCCAACATGGCACGCCCCGGTGCAGAGCACCAATCTAAGGAGGCGACAAAAGCAATATCACCATGTCAATCGGACTTCCATCTTGTTGTTGTGGTGACGGTACAAATCTGTGTCGGTATGGGGCGAACAGCTTCAGTCGACGGAGTATCCAACAGCAAATGAAACACTGTGAGAGCTGGCGGCTTCTCAAAATCTGCTGGGACTGGACGTGGATTTATTAGCACCTCTGCTTCTAGTAGTAGAATTAGGTGTACTTCTTCCGTTGGTGCTTTCTGTAGCAAAGTTATGGAAAAACTATCCTTGATAAATCTGAAAAGACGTCCCCAGGAGCCACTCATTGATAGTGCTGTTGGACTCAATCATCATTCATCAATCTTGTTGTTGGCTGTAAAAACAAAGACCTTGGCAAGTTGGTTCGCTGCACCGACAAATACCGTTAACCGTTTCGGAAACAATCTTCGATGGGCGATAAATCTTCTAAGATCCATATCGGCAGCATCCACAGAAAGGCTTTTCACAATTTCCAGGTAAACAGCTCGGGTGGTGAGGCACGAAGATAAAGCTACCCAGCGTTAAATTCAAAATAATCAAGACTGGTGAAAGAGAACGGGCGCTGATGATGATTGTGGCGCAGACGGGAGAAGTCTATTTCCTTTATATGTCCCATATAGTTCTTACTGTTGTTCTAAAATCGAATGTAGACTTACAAGACGTCCATCGAATACTTGAAAGTTAAAGCTATTTTAAATATAAAAGCGTATTGTAAATGTATCTAGCATTTTTCCCAACACATTTAGATTGATTTTACATTTTACCGACTTGCTTTCAACTTTCTAGTACACACAGTACAAGCTTTGTGGGGGCTAAGGGAATATTAGTAATGGGGCTAGGGCCAAATAGCCCCATTACTAGCAATATACTCTATCAGGTCAACCTCCACGTAGTTCTCCCTAAAAACCATCGTCTTTAATTCTAATTGAATTCATCAGGATGGGCTAACTGGTCTATTTTCATCCCTCACTGGTGCCTCGCCAGTGTATACCGGTAGCATAGGCGGGGTTACCATTCCATTATCACCCATTAAAAACAAAGTATTGGCATTGTTTAGTTTAGGAGTAGATTGCACTGAGTAATGTAGTTAGTGGTATTATTATTTATTCTATTAAAAAAAAAAGTTTTTTTTTAATTCATGTGCGTTTTAGGATTCGCCCGTATCACAACAAAAAGCTAGCCATTCTCTGCAATGACAGCTCAGCGTTAAGCCGGATTATCGAAGTGAGATACGAGTACATTTTGCAATATGGCAACTGACATTTATCTGAATTATAACACGACCAACTCTTGCTAAATTTTAGCTAAATAATAATATTGTAGATAAGTACAATACCCACAATAGGAGGAAGAGGGATTGTTAGTAACGGGGTCAAAATAGCCCTATTACTAGCAATATACCCTGTCAGGTCGACCTCCGCGTGGTTCCCCCTGGAAACCATCGTGACTAATTCTCGTTTATTACGTCAGGATGGGCTAACTGACCTACTTTCATCTGCATCTGTCATCCCTCACTGGTGCCCCGCCAGTAAATACCAATAGCGCAGACGGGGTTACCATACCATTATCACCCATTAAAAAAAATACCCACAATAGACAGTCCATATAATATGGTGGTGAGATTTTTTTTATATTCCTTCAAAAAATTTGAAAAACTTCTCTTGAGTGTGATTAAAAAAATATTGCATGAATGGTTTATGGTAGTTGAATTGTGTTTTTACTCTATTAAGGATGGAGATTTGTTTATTACTGTTATATTTGATATCTTACTTATTTACTTATTTTTTAATATTTTATTTATGCAACTTAGAATAGCAAACAAGCTGACGACCCACCTAATAAAAAAATGTGAACTGTCGTCTATAGACATGAGCAGTATCATGGACATAACAGAGTATACTGTTTCGCCCATGATACCCCTATGCGTTGCCATTCCTGACGACACAGGTGTTATTCCTCTGTACCCTGTAAATTCACTGCTATATCCCACCCTTCAAACCGAAACACAGCCATGTAAACACAACTGCTTCACGGTAGAAACATGAATGGGACAGAGGTGCTCAAGCAAACGACTTTTGTACAAGGTTACCCTCTGGTAAATATTATATTATTACATTTCATTTATATTGTTTACCATTTCGCATTTAATTACTGAATTACTTTGACTATTTAAACTAATTGACTGAATAAAATAAATTGAATTACAATTCCTTAATATTTTAATTTATTTTATTTTATTATTATGTAATGTTCTTCTTAAATGATTCACATTTTAAGTCTACCATTTCAAATTATATTATTGTAAAGTAACTTCTGTTCAATATTTGCACCCTTAACCTAAATAGATTTTATAAGGTACTTTTAATTTATAAGATCTAATGTTTTATACCTAAAATAGTAGCAAATATATTATTAATATTAATACAGTGGTACCTCGACATACGAGTTTAATTCATTCCGTAACCTTGTTCGTATATACCAGAGGGAGACTTTGTACAAAAGTCGATTGCTTGGGTTCCTCTGTCCCATTGGTGTTTTAACCGTGAAGCAGCTGTGTTTGCATGGCTGTGTTTCGGTTTGAAGGGTGGGATATGGCGTGAATTTACTGGGTACAGAGGAATAACACCTGAGTCCTCAGGAATGGCAACGCATGAGGGGTGTCATGTACGAAACGGTAAACTCTGTTATGTCCATGATACTGCTCATGTCTATAGGCGACGGTTAACACTTTCCATCAGGTGGGCCGTCAGCTAGTTTGCCATTCTAAGTTGTATAAAAAAAAAATTTGCTCGAATCTCAAAGCAAATTTCCCCATTGAAATGCCATTAATCCTTATTCCCAAAAAACTTCGATTGAGCGGTGTAGTGAGCGATTCTTCGTATCTCAAATCTTGCTCTCGTCTCAAAGCAAAATATCGCTCGCTCGGTGGCTCGTGTCTTGTAACACTCGTATATCGAGGTACCACTGTATTTCACACTGCCTAGTTAAATATCTGTTTCCTATAAGATTGACGGGAAGAGAATGCTGTAAGGCATGCATTAAATCTGCTTTTTGTAAAAGAAATTCACTTAAATTTTATATACTCAATACTAATTTATATTTTTCTTTGTTTTCAGGTAAGTAGGAAAATAAAGCTCTGGATGCACGCTAGTAGACTGGTATGAAGGTTAGTGCAACCTTTATAGTAATATTATAATATAAACATTGAAAACAAACTCAGGTATTGTTCAATTTGAAGGTAAGGTAATGGAAACTTTATATTATTTTTGATTTTTTTTTTTTTACAACACAGGGGGCAAACGAGCATGTGACTCACTGATGGTAAGTGACTACCGCCGCCCATGATCACCCACAACACCAGCGGCATTGCAGGTGTGCTGCCGATACACTTTTACCCCGTTTATTCATACAAACATCAACCTCTTGTAAACCTATTTTAGCTATTAAACTGTTTTGTCTCTTTCTTTTATGTCTAATTCCGAATTTGAAAGTAAGTGACAAATCAGTGTAATATTTAAAATAGATTTGTTTTTATTTATTTTTTTTATGAATAAAAAATTAGTATGATATTAGGCGTCAACTGTCCACTGCAGAACATAGGTCTTCCCATTGGAGAATTTTGCTATTAGTTGCCACGTTCGGCAGGCGAATTGGTAATCGTAGTATGGCTTTTATAATATTTCAAGAGGGACGCTACTGCCAATCCCTGTATCATTAAGCTCCCTTAGTCGCATCTTACGACATTCACGGGAAAGGAAGGGGTGGCCCATTCTATGTCGGGACCAGATGGCAGATCATTAGATGTACCATACCGCGCACAGCTTAAATGACTCTCTATCTGAAGGTGGTAACCGTTGCCTATATATATGAACAGCATCGTGATTAATTTATCAATTTCACTTGTATTTTACAAATTTTTCAGTATTCTATCACAATTATCTACTCCGTATTCGGAACTTACATAAATCAGTACAAAAACTTTACAAGGTAGCCTACAAAAACATTATCATTTGTACAGATCTTCGCTTGTATAAATTCCAGATGCCAGTTTGTATCTAGGATACTAGACTACGAGAAATTGCAATAAATTATGTAGATTTAACAGAAACTCGGTCTTTGGGGTGAAATTAACAGTTTTAAAGTTGGCAGTAGTTTTGCCTCATAATCCTGTTTTATGTCGTCATACATTAAGATAAGTCTAAAATTTACGTAATGGGAATTCTACCACCACATAAATTAGTTTAGTTATAAGCTGGAAAATAATTTTATATTATCTT